TCTGTAAAATAATTTAACTTTCAAGATTCACTTACTGGAACAGCCATGAAAATCTCCTGATGGAGTAGGTAAGCCTAGGGAGAGGCAGGGAATGGATGAGGAAGATGAATTTACTTAGGGAACTAGCAGTTGTCAGTAAATACTGGTGCAATGTGGACTTTAGAGATAAAACAAGCAGCTGTTACTGACTTCTGGCAAATTCAGATAATTCATCTCTGTTGGGGCAAGTTACCATGGACTCTGGCGTCCATGGTCAGCTTAAACAATCTTGAATAAGAAAATATTCCTCTTCACCACCTACAGGAATTTATGAAGTACCCCCTTTGGATATGTCATTTTATAGAATAAACCCTTTGTGTTTAGCATGCTTTCAGTAAGTATTTGATAAGCATGAGAGAAAGGCCACAGAATACATTCAGAGTATATTTTCAATATGAACTTCCCTAACAACACAGTGATAGGAGGAGGGGCAGACTCAGCTTTTGTGGGGCCTAAAGTTTATACAGTTTTTTGGGTTTTTTTTTTTTTTTGAAGTTTATACAGTTTTCAGAGTCCTCTATAAGAAAAAAATTTACAAAATCATTAGAGAAAAAAATGCCTCTGGTCACTTTGATATCATCTGACAGAGGGGAAACGTGACAGAAGGAAAACAGAGCGGAAAGAGACAGTGGTCTTAACTGATTGCAGTGAATTTATCTTACTTTTGCAAAATTTACAAAATTTTACAAAAACGTCTGACCAAATGAACCCATTATGGAGGTCTCTCACAAGAGCCTGTGTGAGGGAGGGAAGCGAACCTGAAGTTCATGCTCTTTTGGCTTCATAGGAGGCATTCGCTACAGCTATTGTGAGCCAAAATCAGTCGCCAGAACAATCTGAATTGCAGAGTCCTCAAGAGAGAAACAACACGTGTTGGAGGGCACAATCAACGCAGGACAGTGACAGCGTGCTGTAGTATTGACGGAATGGACCTCCAACGCCTACTGGCCAAGACCAAGACAGGGCAGGACACCTGCCACACTCCCTGCCCGAGCGGTGGAATCATCTACGGTACGGAGCAAAGAGAAACAGCATCAGAGCTGGATCAGGGTGGATAAGTAATGTGGATATAGTATCTCATCTTCACAGTCCCATGAGGGACATCTTATTTTCATCCTGAATTTTTACATGAGAAGGCTGAGATAAAAGAGAGGTTGATTTGCCTAAGTGGGAGGGCGTTCTTCCCCCCACTAGCCTCTACCACCTCTCACAATAACTGCCTGTTGAAGTCAGGTGGATGCCTAGACCTCCGTTGAACAGATCTGGTGACAAGGTCACCTGCCTCAAGTTCACCTACTTGTGTGTGGCTTGTTCTCTGAGCTTCCCGGTGCTGCGGCAAAGTACTCCTTGAAATATTTACAACTAGAGACAGATCCGATGTGCCAGGACTTGGTTCCAACTATTAAAGATATCTAACATCACTATTTTTCAGGTATAAAATCAGAAGGCTGTGCATATTGAGAAATGCTGGAGGAACAAAGTATGTTTGGCCTCCTGTATGACTAATATTTATAATTGTTATGATGAAAAGCCCAATTTTTTTCCCAATACAGCTTTTTTTTAATCCCTACTGATTTAAAAACATTTTTTTAATCGAGATTGTTGGATATAACAACAACATAGAAAAACCAATCACCTCCCTTGATGCCAGCAATAAGCAGTAGAAAATATATTAGAAACTCAGCACTGCTAGTGAAAAATATATATACCCCAAAATAAGTAGAACAAGAAATGTGCATGATTTGTGAACTGCACTTCACTGAAAGACATTAAAGATAACCTGAGTAAACGAAGACGTAACTCACGATAATGGATGGAAGAGTCCCTACCAGGAACAAGGTAAATTTTCCCTAAATTAATCTAAAAATTCAACTCGATTCAAGTTGAAACCGTGCCGGGCAGTTTCCGTAGCATCGGTGGGAGTGTGGGCTCCTGGGTTCCTGGTCAGCAGCAGAAATGTGATTTCTGCACGCGCAGTGGAAGCCGAGAATAGAGGCTTGGGGGCTCCCAGCCCAGCGCGGGCAATGGCTTCCTGGCCTCTAGCTAACTTCTCCTTCTCCATTTTGTTCCACCAGTCTTCCCCACACTGTTGTAACTAATTCCGGATATTAAATTCTTCTATGCCGGAAATAGCTCGGAGGGTTTCTGTTTTGCTGACTGGACTCTTACTAATACAGAAACACGTACGTGGGTGCTACAGACTGAACGTTTGTAGGGTCCCACGAGGCGGAAAGAGCGGGGTTCTCGTGATGGGGTTAGTACCCTTCCGAGGCACCGGAGAGCTCACTCTCTCTCTCTCCTCCCAGCATAGGTGCACGGAGGAGGCCAAGTGAGCACACAGAGAGACCCTGGCTGCCCGCAAGCCAAGAAAGAGGCCTCAGGATGAAACCTACCTGGCAGGCATCCTGAGCCTGGAGCCTGGGGCTTGGAGCCTCCAGAACTGCGAGAAGTATCTTTCTGTGGTAGAAGCCCCCCAGGCCGTGGTATCTTGTGATGGCCGCCTGAGCAAACTAGTACGGATCGTAAAAAGAAAGTCAAGAAAATATCAAAGATGAACTGAGAGGAAAAACTAAATATCAGTAGAAAAACAGGCTGAAGAGAAAGGAAAAAAGAAAAAGAGACACAGTAAGAGGTGAGAGGAAGGATAAAGAAATATCTCCCTCTCATATCCTCTTGTTGATTTGTTTTCTTTCACAAAGGGAGAGAGGTATGGGGGGTTATTTTTTGTTTGCCAAGTGAAGAACTGAGGAATTATTCAGGGAACTGAATTAATATAAAAAGCCTAAATAATTCAAGTCAAATCCCTTTTTTCCTCTTAGTAATGCTTTTTATTTTTTATTTTATTTTTTAATAAATAAGAGCAAGACAGAGCAGAGAGAGAGCACAAACAGTAGGGAGGGGCAGAGGGAGAGGGAGAAGCAGGCTCCGCACGGAGTGGGGAGCCTGATACGGGCGCTTAATCCCAGGACCCTGGGATCATGACCTGAGCCGAAGGCAGACGCTTAACCGACTGAGCCACCCAGGCGCCCAATAATGCTTTTTAAACAATTGTATCTATATAGTTGTCTTAATCCTCCTTTTACTTGCCTCTGCTCCTGACACTAATACTTCACCAATTCTAATATATTAGACATGGGCATATCCAACAGCTAAATTTCAAGAGCAAAGAAAAAAATAATGATGAAACCATAGGAAAGAAAAACCCCAAACCTATGGCACACTTGTCTGAAATGTGTTCCTCTAACAGGTAAGGTAATGCCATAATTTTGCTGTTGAAATATTCAGGATATTAAAGTGAACGTATGTGCAAAATACGGTTTTAGGTGAAGTTGGGGAAACAAAATTTAGTACTTAAAAAAAGAGTGAAATCTTCCTGTAAAAAAGATTTTTCAAGGCAAAAATACTTATTATTTTTTTTTTACATTGGTAACAGATCCAAATGGTACTTAAAGTCAGTTTCCTGGATGATCTGCAAACAAAAATTTTGCAATGCACTAAAATGCCACAGCTTCTCTGTACTGTGGAGGAGACTTAGGGAGAGAATTTGGCAACTTTAGGAAAGATAAGAATGTCAGAATAGAAAACTCATGCCTGAGATGAATGGATAAAGAAGATGTGGTATATATATACAATGGAATATTATGCAGCCATCAAAAGGAATGAGATCTTGCCATTTGCAACGACGTGGATGGAACTGGAGGGTATTATGTTGAGTGAAATAAGTCAAACAGAGAAAGACATGTATCATATGATCTCACTGATATGAGGAATTCTTAATTGCAGGAAACAAACTGAGGGTTGCTGGAGTGGGGGGGTGGGGTGGGAGGGATGGGGTGACTGGGTGATAGACACTGGGGAGAGTATGTGCTCTGGTAAGCGCTGTGAGTTGTGCAAGACTGTTGAATCTCAGATCTGTACCTCTGAAACAAATAATGCAATATATGTTAAGGAAAAAAAAAGAAGAAGAAGGTAGCGGGAGGGGAAGAATGAAGCGGGGGAAATCGGAGGGGTAGACGAACCATGAGAGACGATGGACTCTGAAAAACAAACTGAGGGTTCTAGAGGGGAGGGGGGTGGGAGGATGGGTTAGCCTGGTGGTGGGTATTGAGGAGGGCACATTCTGCATGGAGCACTGGGTGTTATGCACAAACAATGAATCATGGAACACTTCATCTAAAACTAACGATGTAATGTATGGGGATTAACATAAGAATAAAAAAAGAAAAAAGAAAAAAAAAGAAAACTCATGCCTGGCCCCGAGCAGACAGGTGCCCTTTAACTAGACCTGACACAAAACACATTTGTATGCTCATTCAAGCCCTCTTTGCCTCAGGGTGCAGGGAAGCAAGAGACCTTTTTCTGTAGCTATTATTTTTATGGTTAAATTATGAAGACAAACATTTTTTGACAGGGCATTTTTTAAAGATTTATTTAAATGAGAGAGAGCGAGAATCTCAAGCAGACTCCCCACTGAGCGTGGAGCCCAAAGTGGGGCTTGATCCTGTGACCCTGAGATCACGACCTGTGCTGAAACCAAGAGTCAGACGCTTAACCGACTGCACCACCCAGGTGTGCTGACCGGGCATTTCTGAATAAAATTTGAATTTAGAGCTATGATTCTCGTAAGAGGAGAAGGAATATCAGAAATAGAATCTTCAAGGGGCTTTGTTGAAAGCTCCCATGCCCTCTCTTCCCAGTCCCCAGGGGGCAGGGGGGACCCTGGTCCTGATGGGAGGGTGTGATACTCTCTCGGGCCTGCATGGCTGGAGGCAGGGGGACGGTTGAGAATCAATAACATTTAAGAACAAATAGGGAGAAATCTTTTATGGCAGTAATAAAGCAGTGTAAAAAAATGAGAATTCTCATCTTGGTTTTATTTCTTTTACTTTTACAAAACAATTGTTTTAAGATTTTCTTACAAAAAAAATTTTAAAAGACATACAAATGACATTCAGGAGATGAGAATAATATTCCTCTAATATGAAGTCATTAAAGTAAACACAGCACATTTATTCACCAAGACCAGAAACCTCGGAGTCAATGACTTCCATTTTTTCCAACACAGTATTTTTGGTTGTGGGAAATAATTTGCCTGAACTCTCTTTTTCTGTATCCTGTTTGGCAGCCTCCTCCCAAGTCGTTGCCAGAGGCATCCCCATGGTTTCTGGAAGCATTAGCGATAGCACTCCACTTATGAAGGCCAAAATCCCAACCAGCAGCTAGAAGGAATTAAAAGAACAATAATAAGTGACATATCGAGAAAGAAACGTATCCTTCAGAGAATAATAATTCCTGAACTTTTTCAGAGGGCAATAACATTAAATTGGATGCAACAGTTGTCATTTTTACTCCCCGGGGAAACCTTGGGTTCCTTATGCGGTCCCGCAGGATTGCCCTTCGTTAATCCATTCATTGACCACCATGGAGACCTACTCAGTAAATCCCAGTTGGTGTCTAGATCAGGGCTCTTGCAGGCACCATCCTAGGAACTGCGCAGAGAAAAAAGTCCCTGTCCCATCTTCCCAGACCCCAGAGAAACCCAGCAATTGAAACTTGGGGTTGGGACTTCATGGTCAGAGACTATCTTAGTCAAACTTTTCCCTGCCCCCCAAATCGGTACATGATCAATATCAACAGATGACACAGATGAATGAATGAATGAATAAATGAATGAATGCACAAACGAATGTTTCAATGAACCAAAACCTACAGAATTTAGGGAGAACCAAACAAAGGCAAATGGAAACTAACTGCTACTTTGGGGGGTAAGGGTCCATGTGATTTCCTAAAAAATTCAGTATTTCTTTACTTTCCAAATTTTCACACCAAAAAGGCAACCTTTTAGATTAGCACCAAGGTGTTTGCCTTTAAAAATGCAAATCACATTATCCCAATTTTACCTCAATTTAAAAAACAGCAATTCGCATTAAGAATTAAAGTCTGCATATCTATCCTCAGTTGATCCTTATGAAGATCCTGGGTGGATTCTAGAACTAAATCTCTACACAGTCTATAAAAGTGAGTTCCATCCTTACATAATTTAAACGCCTCCAGCCAAAATTACTGCCTGGGAAGAGCCCATAAAAATAAAATAAGGCATGGTTTCCCTGACAGATCTACACACTTGGTGCTTTTACAACCTCGGAGAAGGAGAAACCCGCAGCACACAGTGCTTCGGTGGCCTGATGCAAGGCCCCAGTAACACACGGGACCCGGGAAGATGGGTTTTTATTTTGTTTTGCCGAACTCTGATGACCCTAACTTTTAGAAATACTTGAGCAAGCTTAGAAGCAGTCACAGAATTTAAAGCAACATTCCAAAATGCTTAAAGGCCTCTTCTGGTGCTTCCAGATGTAGCAGGTCTACCCACTGAATAAGTCTAAACCAGAACTAGAATCACTGGAAGGACCAAACCAGGACTGGATTTTTCTTTTTGGCTCGGCAGTGAGAAGGATAGGCAGGACACAAACCCATCACCCTCCACCTCCCTCCTCTCTCTCAGCATAAGACCTGGTCTCCTGCCACCCAGACAGCTCCCTCCACCCCCTCAAGCATCCTCACAAGCCCCTACCCCTCGTTCCCCACGTCTCGCTCCCCCTTCACCCTCTCCAGACCCCACTGCTTCTCACCCCCAAGGGCTGGCGGTGGGGTGGGGGGTGTTGGGAGAGGGGAAGTGTTCCTCTATCAACAGCCCTCCCTCCTCCTCACATGTTTTTGACCTTTTCCTTTCTACCAGTTACTTTCCTTCAGCAAAAATAACAGTTCTTATAATCTCCGTGCCCACTCCACCTGGGAACTTGTTCCTGCTACCTGTGTGAACTCGGTTACTTAAACTTCCTGCTCCTCAGTTTTCTCACCTGTAAAATGGAAATAGGAGTAGTACCTGCCTCAAAGGATGGTTGAACGAATTAAATTAAATGACCCATCTAAGGCACTTAAAACAGTACCTGTCCACACGGTAAGCAGTTGATAAATGTGACCCTATCATTCAAAGAAGCCAGAGAGGCCCCCAGCCTCGGCCCACGCCGCCCAAGTTGCTGGCCCGTCCGCAGGCCCTCTCCTGCCGTCCACAGAAGCTGCTCTTCCCAGGCCACAGACTCCTAGCTGCCAAACCCAACACACCCTTTCCTGGCCTATTCCTTCTTAGCTGCCGTCCTCTCCCGCCGTTCTCTCCTCCTCTCCTGCTGCGGGGTCCTGGTCACATCTCCACCTCCCTGGCTGCACACCTGGGCCCTCCTTCCATCACACCTAAAATGCCATTGTTCCTCTGCCCTTGAGCCTGCTCACCCCCCCTCACCGCTTCATAAACCCACTCCCACACCCACTCCTGTGCCCTGAGCTCCAGACCCGGAGAGGCAGCTGCCTCCCAGACGCCTCTGTTGGCCGAGTGGCAGGGGCCTCCCACTCACCACACACAATCCCAGTGCACTGTCCTTCTTCAGGTCAACCTGTCCCTCCTCCTGAATGGCTCTGGCACCGCACCCCACCCCCCACTCCCTACCTGCAGCACACCCAGCTGCTCACCAGGTCCTGTGGATGCGACTTTTCCACCCTGTTGTCTCTAAGTCACCCTTAGCAGGAAGGCGTTTACCTTCTGACCTCCTTTGACATCCCTGCCTGTTTTTCTAGATGATTCCTGACTTCCATAACCCACCCTGGTGTTAGCAATGAGCTGGACCCCAAACCCATACTGGCCCTGTTCCTTTTTCCCTGTAAGCCTTTGCCTTCCTGTTCCCCCTGCCTTGAATTCCCTTCTCTCTTTCTCCTCTGGCCGACTCTTACTGGCCCTTCCAGACATAGATTGAAGGTCCCCTCCTCCAGGAAGCCTCCCCTCTGGCCCTAGCATGGGTTGGTAGCCCTCTCCTATAACCCAGAACCCTAACATTCCCGATGTACAGCCCTCATCTCTGGGGCTTGGGGTGGTTTGCTCTTCCGCCTTCCCCACCACACTGGACGGACGTTTCTCAAGACAGAGGCTGTTTCTTTCATCCCTGCTCCATAGCACCTAACAAGGAGTTAGTTCAAAAACAACACTCAGTAAGTCTTTGCCAAACTCACTGAAGAATACAAAACTGATAGGCATTAGTGTCCGCTTGTTTTTTAGATTACTCAAAAACCATGGTCGATAATAAAAGCATCAGAATGAGTGATTTTCACGTGCTTCTTTTTGAAAGAAAAAAACACGAACTTATCTCCTAGATCAGCATTTCCATTCCTCCGAATGAAAATATTGGCTCCCTAGGAAGTTTGACACCCATAAATAAGCTTAATGAGAAATTTTATAATTTATTTTCTTACTCATTAAAAACAACAAGCAACATCTGTTGCATCCAGAGGAAGGATATTCACAGAGTATCTCTGCAAATATACACAAGACTCTGCTGACAGAGGTTGTCTTGGGGAAAGGGGACTGGGGCACTCAGGGTCAGGGTGGAGAACCTTATTTCTCTGCATTCCCTTTTGTACTGTTTGTTTAACCTGTGTGAAAGGCATGGTATTTGGGTTTGAATCCAAGTCTGTCACCTCCGTGACCTTGGGCTACTAATTACTTTCTACACATCAGTCTCCTCATCTGTAAAATGAATCTGCATTCTATGAAGACCAGTTTTTGTAGTTTAGCATAACAAGTGCTATTTAAGTACCTGTTAAATAAAACTTAAAGTCCCTTTTGACTCCATAGCCCCTAATTGACTATTATGGATGTCTTTTTTTTTTTTCAAAATCTTTATTTTGTTTTAGTATTTTTATAGCAGTTTGCTTTTATGGATTTATCTTCTTCTGTGTGTTTCAGCTTATTGGTTTCAAAAATGCCTTTTCCACTTTTATCTCCTATTTATTTAATGAAGAGCACAAAGAAGATGCTTCTAGAAAAGCCCATGCCCTAAAAAGGATGGTGGACTCTTCCCTGTGCAGGCCAGACCGCACGTATCATTTCTCAGCCTCAGAGTCAGCCCCTGAGAGATGCCGGCATCCCAGCACCGCAATTAAGCAAACTTGACCGAGTGCCTGTTACTGGGATGTGAGAGAGATCCAGGCTAAGCCAATGATTCCCAAAGAGTAGGTGCACACCACCTGTGTGTGCAAGGTGATTTTTAGAGAGCACCACATGCTTTGTTCTATGGTGAACAAAGTATCTCGTTACTTTACTTTAGAAAAACATACGACTAGCATAACAGCCATGATTTCGCTGATATTGCTGAAGACAAAGCTAATTTTAAAAAGCCAGTCTATTTGATTTAAAATACCAATTAAGTGATAACATGAGCGGCACACAGAGAGAGGGAAATGCTTTGCCGGATGCGGTTGGGATCCCAAGTGCCCTGTCCTGCCAGAGTCCAACAGCTTAACTAGGGGGACAAAGACACATGTGCAGACCATAAAGCCGGACTGTGGCTCCACGTGGGCTGGGAAAGCAGCAGACGAGAAATGCTACACAGATAGTGTGGAAGGGAGACGTGGGGGCGTGCGATCCGGGTGTCTTTCTCAGAGAAGTGGGGTTTGCTCTGTGTCTTCAAGATACGTGCAAGTTTAGCAAGGGCAGTTGGGAGAAGGCTTCTCTGCAGAGGGGATGAGGCACAGGAGGAGGGCGGTGCAGCGGAGAAGGAAGTGGGTGAGGAAAGGAAAGAAGACGGGCGATCTGTAGGGGTTCCATCTGGAAAGGACTTCAATATCCAGCAGAGCTCGGATTTTCTTCTACCCTGAAGGTGACGTGGCAGTCGGGCCAGAGCTGTGGTGTGGCAAAGTCTTCTGATGGGGTCGGGGGAAGCGCAGGGAGAGGATCTGGGAGGCAGAAGGTGGGAGCCATTGAACTGGAAGCAAGCAAGCTGGGGCGGTTTTGAGAAGGAAGGTGAGGGTTTGATGTCATGGATGGGGAGGATGGGGGGATAGAAGAACAGGGCAAATAAAACGCAGATGCTCAAGTGTCATGCTGCAGGCTGCTGACTTCTATTCCAAAGTGGGGGGCAGAGGACAAGGGCATTAAGGCACAGACCAGTCCTATCTGGGAAAACCTGACTCTGTCGTGAGATACTCCAGGAGAGTATCCATGAGACCAGGGGAAGGATGGGTTTGCAGCGTGGAACGGAAGTCAGAAAGGAAAAGAGGTTATCCATGCAGGGACTGGGGAGGACAGCCCGGATGGCTCTCAGAGAATGAGTCTAGTTAAGGGAAAACCAGAAAAAGAATGAGGAGCACTGAAGACGAAAGAGGACAGCCTAGAGACAGTGTGGCAAAGAAGTCCAGGAGAGGGCACGTGGAGGAAGTCTCAGGTAAGCTGGAGACCAGACCCCTAAACCTCTCCATCCTCCAAGCAGCAGGCAGCCTCCAGAATTCACCTTGACCGGCAGGCACAAGGTGGGAACCCAGAGCCCACGGCGGGATGGGCCAGCTGCCTGGGAGGCCACGGAGACCTGAGCTCTCCCTCCACAGCTTCAGGAGCTGGGCGGCCAGAGGTCCTCCCACAGCAGACACAATTGCACTTAACGGCTCACCAGAGGCCAAAGGCTATTGCCCAACACAAAACAGCAACCACCGCCCTCCTTACCGACCACGGAGCTGGTAATAAAAGTTCCCATAAACCTCCATAAGTGAATTATAAACTGGCTTCCAAGAAGTACAAAGACAGAAGGCAGTTAGCTGCTCTGCCTCTCTGCTGTCTCAATTCTCTGATTCACACCTGTGGTAGGAAGGTCCAAGCGCTGGAGAGAGAAACCCAGAACGGGGCCACGATGCTTCCCACACGGCTCACCATGCTGCCGCTTCCCACGGCCAGCGACCTGCAAACAGGAGGAACATTAACACGGCAGCCAGAAGGAAAAGAAAAAGAAAAAAGACTGCAGCCGGATCCGAAGCCGAGCAGAGCCCAGGTGCGCAGGGGGGGGGGGGGGCCGCCTGCAGCCCCGCCCACACTCCCAGCAGAGAAGAAACATAATAAAACTGAAGCTCGGCCCAATATACTAGAAAATAATTTTACACTAAAGTTTCGAGAATCACTTGTGACTTACATCCACGTTCTGTGAAACAGTGGTATATACAAGCATACGGATCGTTCAAGACACTTCAAGACCAAAAAAATAAAAATAAAAATAAACCATTCTTCCTTTGCTATGCAGATGAGGCCCTTATGTATATTCATTCAGTCTAACATTGAGAACAACATTGGTCTTCTAGAGCAGGAATTTGTTTGCTGTAGGGCATGGACGGAATGGGGAAGAACGAAAGATTTATATCTATGGAACATTCTATTTCAACTTTTTAAAGACAAGCAGTATCTTAATGTGCTTTTCTTTAAAAGCTATATAAGGGAGCCTTATGGAATGTCTAGTAAGAAGGAAAGAATGTGCTTTTAATGTGAATGAGTATCTCTCTTTAAGCCAAGGAGAGAGGCCCCACACAGGAGAAACCAAATCAGCCAAACACCTTGATCTTGGACCCCTAGCCTCCAGATATGTGAGAAAATAGATTTCTGCTGTTTCAGCCACCCAACCTCTGGTGTTTTGTCATGGAAGCCCTAAAAATTAAGACAACGGACATCAGAACATTAAGAGACACATCCTAAGAAAATTAGCCTTGAGTCATATGGAGAGTCAGTGTAAGTCAATTGTACTTGAGATTATAGAGTGTGATTTCACAACAATTTCTTTAATATCCTTGCTAATGGGGTGTAGACAAAGCCTCAGATTCAGAATTAGCATCATCGTGTGACTTTCCCATATCTCAGAGCTCCAGCAACTGCTACAGAAAGAAAGCATTTCTACTCAAAGGTCAAATATAATGAAACGACGTGTAAGCAAAACACAACAAGAAAACAAAAGAAAAATAAGTAAGTCTTACCTTACCATGGTTGGATACAGCTCTGCCGTATAAAGGTAAATGAGGCCAAACGATGCCCCTATGGCAAATTTTCCAGCCATAGTCACCACCACAGTCCAAACAAAGTAATCCTGAAAAACCATATGTTTGCAAAATAGACCATCATGAGTAATATTTTTAAAAGAAAATATAAAATCTTAATTATTATTTAAAACTTTCTAATTATCCAATATTGTTCAGAACAATGAAAAGTTTTATCTCTGTTTGAATTTATTTTGTTATCTCTACTCATAGTCTGTAAAAGCTTTTCATCTCCCTGAAATTTAGAGAAAAGTTTAATTGTGCCTCCCCTCCAGCCTTGGAGATGTCAAATGACCCAATTAGAAAAGCCATTTGCAGAGACTGCTATGAAGTGAGACACGCCCAGATGGTGCTGGTTCCAGTAGTAATCGACCCACTCCTTCTGGAATTGATCCAGGCAGAATGAATCAAAGAGCCATAAAAACAAATTGGGCCCTTTGTGACAGTAATCCTCTAGCTTATAAATTATTTTCAGAAAATAATTGGAAAGTGATAACTGAGCTATTAAAACAGATTTTTTTTTTTTTGTCAATGCACCTCAACAGTGATACTTCTCTGCGACTCCAACTCAGTTTCTGCTGTCCCTGATGTGCTCCACGTCCAGCTGTGGCTCACACAGGCCTCCCGCATTCCATCTTTCCTCTCCTCTCCTGTCTGCCCGCTGGATGTGGAGACCCAGGGGACCCTGCGGTTCGTGTGTTGAGGATGGCAGCCCCTTTGTCAACCTGAACCCCTGAATGACTCCGTGGAGCCAAACACCCCCTCACCACTCCCACCACTACCAACCAGGTACACCCACATCAAACTTTCTATGAGCAAGAAATAAATATCTATTATGTGAAGTCCCTGGGACTCGATGATGTCTCTAATAAAGCAACCAATGTCACCTTGTCATCCTGATTCCTGCGTGTTTGTTGGATGAATCTGTTGACAGTATCTGTTGTAGACAGTGTTTGTTGAATGAATTAATGTAACTTGAAAAACACTGAAGGGTGTTTACACTGCCATTTGGGGAGAAACTTCATTAGAAGGAAGAAATTTGTGGTTAAGAGTTAGTGCCGTGTTTCTAGAAATCCCCATCAGCTACTCTCCCGTTTTCCCCATTATCACGGGGGCTTAACCACTATTGAACTCAAACGCTCTGGGGTTCCCATAAATATTCACCAGCTAGCTTCAGAGACAGCTGCCATCAACTCAACTAGTATACCTGTAAACCACTTTAAAAACAAACAAAAAGAGGTATGGATGAAGTTCCCTCAAATTGGCAGCAAACCCCCTGGCCCTGAGTAGTTTTACTGCATTCATATTAGTTGTGCATCAATCAGCTGGAAATCTCAGTTACATAAAACATATGATTTGCCAACCTTGAGAATTAAGTGAAGTATTACTATAAAAAGAAGTCACTGGTTAAAGTAAATTTCAAACAATATGCAAAACTTAACATGCCTTGCTCTAAATGGTGAGATACCATTACTGAATAATTATATAATCCTAGAGAAAATTATAGAAAGTATTTTAAAGTATTGTTAGAGTGACCATATTTTCCAAATCAAGAATGAAAACACAGGTTCTGATAACATTTTGCGGGGAGAAAGAGGAGGCGCACTTCTGGATGCAAGAGTTACATAGGAATATAGGAAAATATAGGAATGGGAAAGTGGGTTCAGTAGTTTATGGCAGTATCTCTCAGTAGGAAACTGCATTTTTAAGAACAAGCTCCTTGAGGGATTTAGGCATACTCAAAATTGGAAACAACTAATCTACTGCAATGAAAAACAAGACTATTTAAATGGAAACAGTCTTGAATATAAAACTCATTGCATCCTTCAGATGTCTCTATTGGCTTCCTCCCTCCTTCAGGTTTCTAATCAACTGTCACCTTCTCTGAGAGGCACACCAGCCTCGATCATCACCCTGGATAAAATAAACACATGTGTTACACACACACACACACACACATTCTCCATCCTTCATCCTGTTTTGTTTTTCTTCATACTTATAGAAACTTGATTCACTGTGTGTCTTCAGCACTTAGGACAACACCTGGCACATAACAGATTCTGGATACATATTTGCTGAATGAATGAATGTTTAAGATAATAATAATCACTGGAAGACATGATCAACTTTCCTCATTCAGGACCATTGTGTTTACAAAATACAACATTGGTCATCCCTGGGAAGTGGGATTATGGGCTTTTTAAAAAGAGAAAACACTTTTTTCCTTAATTTTTTTTATAATGAACATGTATTACTTACATCACAGGGAAAGAACAGTTTTTAAAAAAATATTTTAAAATATTATGTATATACTCTGTCCATATGTCTGAATTGATCTTCATCCTTACTGTCATAGTATAACTAACTAACCATGCCTTCAGTAAAACATAAAAATAACTCACCTTGGGGATCACCATAACCACACCACAGAGCAGTGCTCCTGAGATAAGGGAGAAGACCAGAATGTTTCTTCTCCCTATACTGTCCATCCCCCAGCATATGAAGACGTAGGCAGGAATTTCCACTGCACCTGTCATTGAGCAAAAGGGCTCTCTATAAGCCATGGCAGCCAACCACACAAGGGGACCTCGCCTTCTCACCCACCACCCGAAAGGAATGATCAGCCCTCTTCCCACTTCCAGGAGCCCCTAAGAGCTACACAACACCTGCCTTACAAGCCCGACCCCTTTTAAACTCCCTGGAGTGAAGAGGGGGGCGCCTGGGTGGCTCAGTCGTTAAACGTCTGCCTTCGGCTCAGGTCATGGTCCCAGCGTCCTGGGATTGAGCCCCGCATCAGGCTCCTTGCTCAGCAGGAGTCCTGCTTCTCCCTCTCCCACTCCCCCTGCTTGTGTTCCTTCTCTCACTGTGTCTCTCTCTGTCAAATAAATAAAATCTTGGGGCGCCTGGGTGGCTCAGTCGTTAAGCGTCTGCCTTCGGCTCAGGTCATGATCCCAGGGTCCTGGGACTGAGCCCCGCATCGGGCTCCCTGCTCCGCGGGAAGCCTGCTTCTCCCTCTCCCACTCCCCCTGCTTGTGTTCCTGCTCTCGCTATCTCTCTCTCTCTCTGTCGAATAAATAAATAAAATCTTAATAAATAAATAAATAAATAAACTCCCTGGGGTGAAGAGGATGTGTCCTGTTAAGTGCACTAGCGCTCCCTCAATCCGCCTGGCACTTATCACCTGTCCCGGGGATCTTGCCACCCACTAGGCTGTGAGCTCCCCAGTATACAACATGGGGCCCAGAAGACAGGCCTGTTGGATGAATACATGAGTAAATTCATTGACGACATTGATAATTTCTGATCTTTGGTTTCTCGCACTTGGCAGAACGAGAGAAAATTCTACATCAGTAACTTCAAAGTTAGGAACTGAAGTAGAAAATTCACTGTTGGCTAAGTACACAAACTAATGATAATGCGTGATGGATTTTTAAATCTAAAAGTAAACATCTAAAAATCTAAGATGAATCCCCTACAGAACAGAAACTGCCTCGGGCCTCTTTTTCCTGCCCCACCACAAAAGTAAAGAGCTGGATCTCTAAGTCCATAACTGACTTAAAAGCCCTTCTCTTGAAAAACCAAAGTGAGATCCAGAGCCAAAAAGCTCTATGTCTACCAGCCAGAATCAAACAGGAAGCAAGCAAGAAGATCTTTTGGCCAAACTGAGCAACCCCAACCATCTCTTTTAGGAAACTGCCATGGTCTACCAGGCCAGATCTTCCATGTAATTCAGTCTGGAGTTCTCCCCCCATCTGCAGCTTGCCTAAATCTCAGGGTGCGCTCCGCCCCCACTGCTCAGGAGAGACCTGCCCTTGCCCATCCAGCTGCAGAATGCTGCAAGCACCTGGAGAGACTGGTCTGCCTCTCTGTCTCCCACAGCTGCTGAACACATCATAGGGGTAGACACCTATACTCCCGGTGAACATTCTCAGCAGTACATCAGAAATGTACACAGCTGCTGCTGCTCAAAAAAAAAAAAAAAAAAAAAAAGTGGCTCAGGCAAAGGCAAAAAAGAACATTCCGAGCTGCCTTTGAGAGCTGGTCTTGCTCCCTTTCATCGACATGGAAAATAGTCAGCTCTGAAGGAAATGCTCCCTTGCACGGACCCTGCAGTGGTAAGGTCCATGCTTTCGGGCCAGATCAGGGTATATATCTCTTACTCTACTCTTTTTTTTATTTTATTTTATTTATTTTTAAGAGTTTATCAAGCACTTTTCAAGGCCCAGGGTCATGACCCTCAAAAGAATCGCATGGGAGTAAACCCGGCTTCGTGTCCCCACTTTACAATGGAGAGTAAATGTTTTGAGCCGAATGAGTAAGGGACACCTCAGGGCCTGGAAGCAAGGTCTTCAGGAGGCACGACTCCTTTCTTGAAGCCTCCCTCCCCCACTGCCTCCCTCCGCGCCTCAGGACTGGGTGCTGGGCCACCAACCAACTTCCTGGGGTCTAGCCAAGCAGGGCAACCACTGTGAAATGGCTGTAGAGACATTTAAAGTATCCTACACTGGTTTTTCTTGAGTTGTCGCTTCAGGATACTGATACCCCATCTAATTTTTGGTGTGACTGTGTATAGGATAGAAATGGTGCAAGCAATGAGGTCCACACCTCTTTGGATTCGGACAGTCTGCCATTACTTTCTTCACTCTATAATATAGAATCTCCAATCACCCAGACCCAGCTCCCCTCCTATCCCCACATAACCCCAAGGGTATGTCTTGAAGCTGCTGAAGCATTTATCACTTGCAAGTGGCACAAAACCTGGGCTGAAATCCCCACCAGCCCCAACCCGTCTCAGGAGAGAAAAACTCATTCCAAAATGTCACAGCATAGAAATGTTGACTGGAAGCGCCTGTCAGCAAGAGGACTTCTGGGAAGGGGAATGACATGAAAAATCCAAGACAGTAGGGAATAGAAAACCATGTATATGTATCTTAGACACATTTTTATATTTATGAGATGTCCCAGTTTCTTAAGAATTTATATCTTCATTAAAACAAAGAAACTATGTCATAAAGATCTAAGACTCCAACTTCCCAAAGCTTCCCCACGTCACACCCCACCCCACTCGGTCCTCCCGTCACCTCCTGCTCTGTTGTAGGAAGACCACATCATTTCTCAAACTGACATCTAGAATGGGTTTGAAGCCAAGATGGTCTCTGCAAACTTGTTGGTTTGCCCAAAAAGAGAATAACAGTGTTTTATTTTTTCTTAAAATGACTTCTCTGGTAATTCCTGCTGAGCTATAATAAAAACAGATGTGACATCAGAGCACTTTAATGAGAAGGGATGCTATCTATGTGTAAAAATGTAAGAGCAAGATTTTTCTGAGGATAATAGCAAATGCAGTCAGCCTTTGTGAAAATGACCAGGAGTTAAGACTAGATGGACAGATATCGATTTCTAATATTTCTCTCATGTTTGGTGTGAATTTGGTTGGCCATCAGAGTCACGCCTCAAGACGTCAGTATCTGGGGCCATTTTAACCTGGCACTAAAATGAAAGAAGCACGACAATGAAATTATAGTTGCATGGATTTAAGTGATCTTACTGACTGCAATTTCTAAATTAGGGGCTTTTGAAGGTAGAAAGATACCAGAAGATCTCCAAGACGTATTAAATTTTAAAAGGAAAGCCACTTACAAAGAACAATAGTTACCTACAAAGAGAATGATCTCTTTCTCTGCACAAATGTATGAAAATGCATAGAAGGAGATCTAAAAGAGTACAAGCCAGATATTATAGACATCACCTCTCAAAGAGAGTTCTGAGATGGGGGTGGGCTTACAGGAAGGAAGGAAGGAGCAGAGGCAGAAAAGGAAGGAGGAACTAAATTCTTCTGACTGTTGGCATTGTTTTAAAAGAAAATATATACCTGTGTTCCAGCATAATAACACTAAAAGAGACTGTAATAATATAGTTGGCAGTATTGTTCCTGGTAGAGAAAAGACAATAAAAACACAAGAAAAACATGGTGGAAACATCACCTCATTGCTATGCTTAAATATAATTTAACTACTTACCCATGAGGAAGAGGTTTAAATATTCATTGCCTCCTAAATTAACAGAATTCAAGGAGAAGAAGTAGAATCCCAAACACCCAGTGAACCAAATCAGCCAAACAATAAATGTCCTTGTTCCAACATTCCAGTCATAAAACAGATCTAATAGGTTGTGCTTCTTAACTTCAAAGGGTGCATTACCGACAGGACCATTTAGATCTAGTGACAAAAGTTCTGACAGTTTACAGGAGCTTGCCCTATTCCACTTGGCCATCGCATCAACTACTCTTTGTGCTTCTTCATATCTTCCCTCTGAGAGAAGCCAAAAAGGTGTCTCTGGGAGTATCCAACAGCACACGACAAAGGGGACAGTCACTGTGGAGAGGACTATCTGATAGGTCCACCAGGTCCTGACAAAGTAGCCTGTCAAAGCCACCACCATTGTTCCAATGGCAAAAAAGGAATGCATCTGGATGCATGCCCACGTCCGAGACTTCATGCCAATAAATTCCGTCACATAGACAAACACCACCACGAGATAGCCACTTCCAGACTGAAAAACAAAGCAGGGAGGGTGGTCCAGATTTAAGGTCACATTTACAACTGCTCAGGGGTCTGATCTCTCTGCATATCACACATAGGCAAGAAAGAAAATGACAAAATTGTTTTCTGAAACCCTTACCACATTTCGAAAATGGCATTTAATCCAATCCATCCTTCTTCTTTAAATGGTTCTTTTCATCCTTCCCCCACCCTCGCCACCCTGAACGGCCAGACTCAGATGAGAGGACATGTATGATATACGTTAGGCGCTGCCTTTTGCTTCAGGTAAGGATTCCTCTGTAGTGTGCCTTTCTTTCTCAGTTAATGTAACTGTAAACATGCATACCAATTACTCTATAGATAAGAGGTCCTTATTATTAAATCCTAAATTGTTAAATGGGGGCAAAAAATAATGATATCTAATGTGAAGAAAAAGATTTGATTGAAACTTTATTTTAACAAGCAACAAAAGAAAAAATAAACAAACTGGGCTTCATGGAAATTAGAAACTTCTGTGCATCAAAGGAGACTACCAACAGAGTGAAAAGGCACCTTGTGGAATGACATATTTACAAATCATATATCTGATAAGAAATTAATATCCAGCATATATAGAACACTCCTGAAACTCAACAACAAAGCAAACAATCCAATTCAAAATGAGCAAAGAATTTGGATTTTTCCAAAAAGATACACGAATGGCCAATTAGCACACGAAAAGATGCTCAACATCACTAACCATTAGGGAAATGCAAATCAAAACCACATTGAGATACCACCTCATAGCCATTAGGATGGCTACTATAAAAAAAACAACAACAACAATAGAAAATAACAAGTATTGACAAGGATATGGAGAAACTGGAACTCTTGTGCACTATTGGTGGGAATATAAAACGATACAGCTGTTATGGGAAACAGCACGGGGATTCCCCCAAAAAACTAAAAATAGAATTACCATAAGATTCAGCAGTCCCACTTTGGATATACATCCAAAATAATTGAAAACGAGGCCTCAAAGAAATACTTGTACACTCATGTTTGTAACAGCATTATTCACAATGGCTAAAATGTGGAAGCAATGCAAGCATCCACAGACAGATGGATAGACAAGCAAAATGTGGTCTATACAGATAATGGACTATCATTCAGCCTTAAAAAGGAAGGAAATTCTGACACATGCTACAACATGGATGAGTCCTGACAACATGTTGCTAAGTGAAATAAGCCAATCACAAAAAGATAAAATACTGTATGATTCCACTTATATGAGTTACATAGTGTAGTGGAAATCCTAGAAATAGAATGTAGAATATGGTTGCTAGGGGGTGGGGGGAGGAGGAAATGAGAGTGTTTAATGGGTATAGAGTTCCAGTTTTGCAAAATTAAAAGAGTTCTGGAGATGGATAGTGACTATGGTTGCACAACAATATGAATGTACTTAATATCACTGAAATGTATACTTAAAAATGGTTAAGATGGTAAATTTTATGTTATGTGTATTTTACCACAATTTTAAAAATTGGGGAAAGTAACTTTATTTTGAAAATAAGCTTATCTTTAATAAAATGTAGACTATAATAGCGATATGTGATCATTCTTGGAATAAACAAAGAATGAATCAAATGATGGATTTTTTTGTTGGGGGGGGTGATGAAAGGATTAGAATTTTTCCTACAAGAGTATTTCACATTTGACTTCTGTAACACAAATCATAAAGTTAATTTTTGCAAAATTATTCAAGAGCCAAAGGCCTCTCTTAATCCTTTGATATTCAAATCATACTCTTTTGAAGACTCATCATGTCATTATCCTTGTGGATGTTCATTTCTTCAAAAGTTAGCTGGTCTAGCTCTACCACATCCCAACTGGCCCAGGGATTTGGGTAGGATGATTTAGTTTTCCCCATTGCTCTCAAAGACTTTTTGTAATCAAACATCTTTTGTAAGACCTGCAATTTCTCCTTGCATTGGAGAGTCAGGAAGAAGCTAACCTACAAGCGATTTCCTGTGACAGAGAGCATGACACGAGTAGTAAACAGGGATGTGGGTGGTGGGGCCTCTACTGCATTAATGTTCAGTTTAATATTTTTGTGACAACAGCTTTCACTTCTCCATACAACCTTATAATTGCAAGACTCAGATAATGAACCCTGCTAATGAGGACTCCCACACCCAAGAATCTAGTTGTTTGGTAATGTTTGCTGTTGTTACAGTACACAAACAAAGATGGTGAGGACCGCCAAATACTACAGATTTCCCCCATTAAGTTAAGCGGTAACATCAGTCCCTGGCAGGTTTTTTTTTTTTTCCCATAGTCATCCTGAGCGCACTCCCACTTCCTACTGGTTACTTCTGTCACTGGGTTCAGTCAAGCCATACACAACTCTGTAATTCCAAAACGCTCCTTGGATTCGTTCACACCTGTCACCTCCACTGAGAACGCTGTTCTTCATGTCTCCCCTGACCCCACCCCCACATAGCAGCCAGAACAGCCACTTCGCCCCCACCTGAACCCCTTCAGGACATTCCCATTGCCTCTAGGAAATCAAGCAAACTCTTGATCCTCCTCCAAGGCCCTGGCTAATCATCCCCATCCCTTCAGCCTCATCAAGGTGTTTTACCTCCTCTCTATTCTCCAGACATCCAGACCTTCAATTCCTTCTCATCTTAGGGCCTTCTTACTTGCTGTCTCTACCTGGAACATTCTTCTCTTACCCATTCCTCACTAAAAAGCCCCTAATTCTCCAGACTCTCCACTCTCCCAACTTAAGATCCCCTCCCCCGCACTGTCACGCCTCCATTGTCAACACTGAATTTTCCAAAATGGCCCATCAGTGTCTTGCCTTCCCACTACACTGTAGGGTTATTGAAACAGTCTGGTCTGGTTTACTTAGCATCACACTCTGTGGGCAGACTCTAACAAATGTGTTGAGTAAATGAGTCTGCCGGCATCTTCCCTCCTCAGAATTCAACCCCAACTACATTTCTCTTGAAAATCAAAGACAGAAAATTAAGGCCACATTTACAAATGTATTCAATGAGTGGCTGTCTCATTTTCTCAGTTCTGGAAATAAACACATGGTATTTCTAAGACTGAAACAGATATTTTCAGAATGCATCCTCTTAAGCCTTCCAAAAGAGGACCTTCACACTCTCTCCATCCCTGTGCCTCCGTTGAATCATCATTCCCACCAAGGGCTCATCAAATCTCATTCTGCAGTCACAGAGCCATTTCCTCTCATTCTGTCCTCAGTGGACACAGACTGCTGCTTGTCGTCTTTTGTATTAAAAACTCTTTACCTTCCTAAATATATATAATTACTTTTTTTAAAGGGGCTACACCTCCAATTCTCCCCAATTTTTTTCTTTTTATGCATCATCCCTATCCCTGGCCATCCACGTGGCTTCCTAGGAACCCTGTCCAGCCATCAGTGAGGACTCCAAAACTGAACACACCAGCCTGCTCTGTGAGGGCTGGGACCTCCCTGAGATTGCAGTCCTTGGCCTCTCCCCGGAATCTTGGCTCATACGTACGTCCTGGTGAATGGGGATGCATACCCATCCCTGAGTTTAGCAAGGTCACAAGTTCCTCCCACAGACAGAAACTTCACTCCACTATCCTTGACTGGTGACCTCCAACAGGATTCACTGCTGCTGTCATTTGGCAGCTTAGACCCTGTCCCCAAGTGTGGGGACACTTCGTCACTGGCTGGTCCACTTACAATGATAGTCCCCACCGGAAGGACGGCCTATGTCGTGGCCGGTGCCCTACCGTGCAAGTTAACTTTAATCTCATTGGCTCCTGATAACAACCCAGTGAAGCAAGTAGTATTTTCTACAGTTTACAGCTTAGAAACTAAGGCTTGAAGAGAACACCGTGTTTGCCCAAGGCCACACAGTGAAAAAGCCAAAATATGACAAGGCTGGTATTCAAACTCATGCCCTTTTCCCTCCATGTCCTTGTTCCTCGCAACAGAAAAGCCCAGCGCTTTCTTGTTTTCATTCCTACTGCACAGTATACAAATGACTTTTAACAACACACCTATGGCTCATGCATACAGGGCCTGACTCGGCCGCTGGAATTGCTCAGAAATGAAAGAATGCCTTAGTAATTGTGGAATGTGGACCACGTGCCAAGCATGGCGTCAAACAAAAAGTCTCTGCCTAGTAAGCAACCATTTTTCACGTTAATGAGTTTCACTGTAAACACAGGGCACTGCTGTTCCACAGAAAGACTTCTCAGGGGCACGGACAAAGATGAGTCCTTGCCCTCTGTCACCGCATTCGAAATGACCCAAACTAAGACAGCTAGGCTCGGTGTGAAAACACTGCAGGAGAATTAATGAGGTTTTTTGTAAAAAAGCACACACACAACTCACCATGGCTAGAAGAAAGCGTGCGATCATGAAGCCGTAATAATCAGATGAGAAAGCCGCTGCTATGCCGAAGAAAAATAGGCCAATGCTTGTGGACCACAGGACGAGCCGTCTTCCTAGCCTACAAGATAAGAATGGCACAGCGGGACAAGCAAAGTAGGGTCATAACAGTTGAAGCACCCACTCCAATTCACGACAGATGAGTATTGCTTATGTACTGATTGCTGCTATTCACTCATTTACTGGGGGCAAGTTACGAGTTAACACATGCAAGAGGCCAGTCTTTCGGGGGAGAGGCCTCTACCCAAGCCACTAATAGACACACATGATCACCCGGGGTGATCCCCCAGAGGACTTGCCGACCCAGGACTGGTGAGGGAGAGGAGGGGGGATATGTGCCCATCCTTCCCTCTCTGTCTCTCCTGCCTTCATTTGGGCCTTCACCATTTCCTCCATCTCTCATCCCAGTGGCCTCCCAACCAGCCCTCCTCATGTCACACCAGCACACCCCCCTCCCACACTTCCCAGAAATAAAAACAATCCCAGGTGTAGTTTTGCTTCACTTCTTTTATCCATCCTATGCTTCTGCCAAATGCGCCTCCCCACAATTCCCTGAAGGTGCCAGCCTCTCTCATGACAGGAAATTTTTCCTTCCCCCTTAGAAACCCTTCCCTAGTGAGCATTTAAAACCCAGGTCAAATGTGCAGCCTTTTCTGACCATCCTCTGGGGTCTTGAGGCAGAAATGAAGAGACAAGGCGATGTAGTAATCAGGTGTTCAGGCCTGGGTTCAAGTCCCAGCTCCACTGCTTACTCTCCAGATAAACTTTCCGTGCCTCCTTTTCTGCACCGGTACTTAAAATAGGGCCAATAGTGCCTACCTCCTAGATGTCTTTAAATAATTAAATGAGATAATACACAAGACATTTAAAACAGTACCTGGTGCATAGTAAATGGTGCATAAATGTGAGCTGTTATTATTTTAAAAGCATTTCTCACATTTCATTGAAATTATCTATTTAAAAGTCTTTCTCCTCCACTGTTAGCTCCATAACGATGGGATCAGGTCTTATTTCTTTGCTTTTTTATTATGATATGTCATACATACATAAGAATGCATAAAAATACATATGCATTCGGAGAATAATAAGACTCAAACATCTATGAAATCACAACCCAAAGTAAGAAAGAGATCATTGCCACCCTCCCAATAGCTTCTTACACCTCCCTTTGTGATCCCAAACCCCCAACTCTTTGCTCCCTTTTTGGAGAGACCATTATCCTAATTTTGGCAACCATCAGTTCCTTACTTTTCATTCCATTTTACCACATTTATAGGCAGCCCTAAACAAGATAGGTTACTTTTGCTAGTTTTTTAACTTTCTATCATCGAACAGTACTGTATGTATTATTCTGTGTCTTGCTTCTTTTACTCAATCCTATTTTTGGAGATTCATCTCTGTTGTTTGTGTAGCTACGAATCATTCATTGCATGGCCGCACATCCCACAGCAAGAAATATTGCAATATGTGTGTCTACAATATGGCTGAAGTACATTTGGGTTGCTTGCATGGCCAGGCTGGTAGCAACAATGCTATAGGAGCTTTTTGATGCACATACCCATGTGGACATGTGCAAGGGCATCTCCAGGGTCCAAGCCCCAGGACATGTGAGCTGTGCCCATCACCAACTTTTCTATATAATGAGAAACCATTCTTCAAAGTTTTCCTGATTTGCATTCTCAATTTGCATTCACACCAGCAGGGCGAGAGATCCTATTACCCCATATCCTCACCAACACTTGGCATTACAAGACTTTCTACTTTTGACAACTGGTCAAAAATAAATGGTATGGTTATAGATCATTGACACCCTTTTCATCTTTCCATTAGCCATTTGGATTTTCTCTTTTATGAAGTGACTTCAAATCTTTTTCCCAGTTTTCTATTGGGTTGTCTTTTTCCTATTGATATAAAAGTCCTTTAAGTAATCTGGATTCTAATCTTTTAGTTATATGTAAAGCAAATATTCTGTCTCTCTTTTTCTCTCCTGCTTGTCTTTCTTCTCTTAATGGTGTCTTTTCATGGACATCAATTCTAGTGAAGTCAAATTTAGTGCTTTTTGTGTCTTAATAAAGATCTTTCCTTCCTTCAATTAGGTTCTGAAAATATTCTCCCCTATTATCTTTCTAAAGTTATATAGTTTTTCCTTTCACGTATGTACCTTTAATCCTTCTGGATTTTAATCCTTCTGATGTTTGTACTGTAAGGTGTAAGGAAGGGACACCAGTTGTATTTTCTTCCGTACAGCTATACAAGTATCCCAGCACCATTTATTAATCCTTTTCCTGCTGATGTTCGATGCCTTATTTGTTCCATAGTTATATCTATAATTGAACTACTCTCTTTCAGGGTCCCCTAAGGAACTATCAACTGTTTGTCTAATGATACATCTATTTATCTTAATGATTTGATTCTTGAAGTTTGTCATTTTCTCCATAAGTGCTTATACACTTTTTGATTGATTTATCCATACATATTTTATATTTTTAGGTTTTTGCAATGGCATTTTTTTAACTTTTTTTAAATTGAAGTATAGTTGACATCTGTTACATGAGTTTCAAATGTACAACACAGTGATTCAACAACTCTATACATTATGCTATACTCACCACAAGTGTAGCTACCATCTGTCCCACACAACGTTATTACAATACCATTGACTATATTCCCTGTGCTGTACCTTTTATCCCCATGACTTATTCATTTCATAACTGGAAACCTGTATCTCCCATTCCCCTTCATTCTTTTCACCCATCCCCCAACCATCTCCCCTCTGGCAACCATCGGTTTGTTTTCTGTATTTATTGGTCTAGTCCTGTTTTTTTGTTTATTTGTTTGTTCATCTGTTTTGTTTTTTAGATTCCACATATAAGTGAAATCATCTGATATTTGACTTTCTTTGACTTATTTCACTTAGCACAATACCCTCCAGGTCCATCCATGTTGTTGCAAATGGCAAGTTCTTGTTCTTTTTCATGGCTGGAATATTATTCAGCCATATAATGCTATATATATCATATATATTATGATATATATCATATTATACATTATATTATAATTTATTAATATTTATTGTTTTAGTCTATATTATTAGTTATTATATAATATTTATCGCATATTTATATTTTTATTAATTTTTGTTTTTATTTATATTACATATTTTATATAATTATATAATTATTATTATGTTATGTTATATATTTTTAACATATTGCATTTTATTACAATTTATTAATATATAATAAATAACATTTTATATGTAATATGTTAATGATAATAAATAAAGTATATTATATTAATATATATTTATATATCACAACTTCTTTATCCATTCATCTATCAGTGGACACTTAGGCTGTTTCCATATCTTGACTATTGGAAATAATGCTACAATAAACATAGAAATGCAAATATCTTTTCAAATTAGTGTTTTCATTTTCTTTGGGTAAATACTCAGTAATGGAATTACTGGATCATGTGGTATTCCTATTTTTAATTTTTTGAGGAACTTCCATCTATTTTTCCACAGTGATTGTACCAATTTACATTCCCACTAACAGTGCACAAGGGTGCCTTTTTCTCTACATCTTCACCAATACTTGTTATTTCTTGTCTTCTTTTTTTTAATTTTAGCCATTCTGACACGGGTAAGGTGATATCTCATTGTGGTTTTGATTTGCATTTAGTGATGTTGAGCATCTTCTCATGTATCTGTTGACCATCTGCATGTCTTCTTTGGGAAAATGTCTACTCATGTCTTCTGCCCATTTTTTTAATCAGATTGTTTTTTTGATGTTGAGTTGTATTAAGTTCTTTATAGCTTTTGAATACTAACCCCTTATGTATATATCATTTGCGAATATCTTCTCCCATTCACTAGACTGCCTTTTCATTCTGTTGACGGTTTCCTTCACTGTGCAAAAGCTTTTTATTTGGGGGCAGCCCTAATAATTTATTTTTGCTTTTGCTTCCCTTGCCTGAGGAGACATCTCTAGAAAAATGTTGCTAAGGCCAATGTCAAAGAGATTACTGCCTATGTTTTCTTCTGTGCGTTTCATGGTTTCAGGTCTCATATTTAGGTTTTTGATCCATTTTGAGTTTGTTTTTGTGTATGATGTAAGAAAGTGGTCCAGTTCCATTCTTTTGCATGTAGCTGTCCAGTTTTCCCAGCACTATTTATTGAAGAGACTATCTTTTCCCCATGACATATTCTTGCCTCCTTTGTTATAGATTAATTGACTATGTAAGTGTGACTTTATTTCTGGACTCTGCAATGGCACTTTTTAATTTTTATATTTACTACTAGTAGATATAAAATAATTAAATTTATATGTATTGATGACATATCCAGCAACCTCATTACATGTAAGTTCATTAGTTCTAACAATTCATCTGCTGGATTTTCTTCAGACAGAATTGTAATGGCTAAAAATAATGACTTTTTGTCTTCTTTCTGCTTATGACTTTCTCCCTCCCTCTGCTTCTCCCTCTCTTTTCTTTCTCTGTTTTACTTTATAGTACTAGAATCTCCAGTACAAAACTAAGCAGAAGCAGTGTTTCATACATCTTTATATATTCCTGATTCCAAAGGAAAACCTTTTGACATTTCACAGTTTATATGTTCATGGTAGATCTTTTTGAAGATACCTGTTATCAGGTTAAGGACATTCTTCTACCTTTAGTTTTTGTCATGAATGAATTTTGAAATTTATCAAATGTTTTTCCTATATTTATTGAGTTGCTAATATGAGTTTTGTCCTCTAATCTGTTAATGTGGTAAATTCCATTGATTAGTTTCTAATATTAAGTGTATTTCAGACCTTACACCTCTGCTTTCATGAATTTTAATCTCTCATATTTTCCATCTGTCTCTCTGATGTTTATTATTGATAAGTTTTTCTGAGCTCTCATGCATTTTACTCATTCTTTCTTTACTTTTATATAATGGGTTGTTAAAACTACCCAGGAATTTGTCAGTCACTTATTTTGGTTTGTATTTCTAGATGTTCTAGGCAGTTATTCCTCAATTTTACGTCATTTTAAAATACAATTTCCAGGGGCGCCTGGGTGGCTCAGTCGTTAAGCATCTGCCTTCGGCTCAGGTCATGATCCCAGGGTCCTGGGATTGAGCCCCGCATTGGGCTCCCTGGTCCACAGGAAGCCTGCATCTCCCTCTCCCACTCCCCCTGTTTGTGTTCCCTCTCTAGCTGTCTCTCTCTGTCGAATAAATAAATAAAATCTTAAAAAAAAAAAATTTCCAGGAGGTGCCTGGCTGGCTCAGTTGGTACAGCATGAGACTCTTGATCTTGGGGTCATGAGTTCAAGCCCCATGTTGGGCATAGAGCTTACTGAAAGAAAGAAAGAAAGAAAGAAAGAAAGAAAGAAAGAAAGAAAGAAAGAAAGAAAGAAAGAGTTTATTTTTAAAAAAAAATGTTAATAAATAATTTTTTAATAAAATAACAATTTCCAGATTTTTATCAATAATTTTAAGCTTGTCTTCTATTCCTTTAAGAGCAGTAAACATAGTAAATTTATTACCTATGCCTGACAATTCTAGTATTTGAAGTCTTTGTGCATAAAGGCTGCTTTTGCTGACTCTCACTCATGGTGCCTTTTAATCATGTGTTTTGGCTTTGACTGACCTAATTTCCACACCTTCCACACAACTACCAGGAAGGCAGTTATGGAACAGAAGATTCTTAATCATAGAAACATAACTTTAGCCACCAAATAATAACTAGACTCCACTTCTCTAATTTCATTACTCAAACGGCACCTCATGGGATGTGAGTTAGAGGTGGGGAGACCTGGGCACTCCTCCCTTTAGGCCTCCATAGACTTTGCCTCCATTGGCTTTCACTTCTAGTATGGCCCCAGCCACAATAAAGCCATTATTTTTATTTTGGACATTTGTTAGCCCCATTAGACGAGCATACCCCAAGGGCAGGGATTTTGACCTAAGCTGTTGCCTTCAGGTTCCCAGGGCCCAGCACATGCCTGTAAAATTCCCAACTATGGGGACCAAATAAATTCATCTCTGTGGGTTAGCACAGGTACTTAAAGCGCAGTCCATGTCCACACAGAGATGAACTTTGCTTTATTTAAGTGCTATGTATCCATTTTAATGTGTGTTTTTTAAGAAAATATGGCTAGTGTATCAAATCCACAATTTCATAGATATTACTGCTTAGAACCAGGTTACATCTATTAAAAAGCAAGTTTATTTAAATATATATATATATTCAAATAATAACCAGTATTTATTGAGTGGTTATATGTCCAAGGTACTTTTTCTGCATTAATTTTGCAATAACCCTTTGAAGTGAGTGCTATTATTTTCATCACCAGTTTATAAACTAGTTTCTGAAACACAGGTTATGCCATTTTCTCAGGGCTCATGACTAGTAAGTGCAGAAACCAGGATCTGAACCAGGTAGGCTGTCTTCAGAACCCATGCTCTACCCACTACGGTTTTTGTGTATCCCTAAACACAATCAGCAAAGAGGTAGGTATTTAATAGGAGGTATGAACATGACTAAAGTTTTGAACATAATTTCCTGACCTCTAAGAAAATCAGATAGGAAAATGAACCCTACACTGATGCAACAAACCTAAATACTTCATTTTACCTGTCAGAAAGGTAGCCAAAAATCATTGCCCCCAGCAGGACTCCCAACATAAATACGGGCTGGACCATCTTTGCAAACCATTCTCGGTTACACACCAGATCCCACTGAGTCACCACGGTGCTGTCCCACTTGCTCTTGTCATAGATGTAGCCATCCAAACAAGGAAAGCTGCTCTTCCGGCCATTATAATCAGAGTTCAAACCAGACTTTTCATCCCTCCGGAATCGGTGACAACTTGTGAGCTCCCAGACCTCACCGTTCTGTAGCTGCACTATAATCTGATCTTCATGGCCTGTGAAAAACAGGATCCAGATGTCCTCCAACCTCCAACTAGAGACATTGTGGAAAAGAACCTGACTCACGTTGCCCGGAGGCCGGCAGGTATGGTAGGGGGACACTGTCATGAACACAGATGCCAAGTAGTGGATACCACAAGAGATGTTCTGGAAGGCACATATAAAATAGAGGACTATCTGAAATCTGCAAAGAGAAGAAAAGCAAGTTACTATATCTGGCCTATGGGCTCAAAAAGACTATAAGTACATATGAAGGGTATTCATTACATTTAGCTTAATATATATACAGATGTATAAATACAGAAATAATTACAGATGTTTCCATATGTGTGTGTGTGTATTATTTGTTAGTATATATACATAGCTCTGTTATGTCACAAGCAATGACATTGAGACAGGGAAACTAAAGGGACCCCATGAAAAAATACTTTTTTGCTCCTTTTTCTGCTTCTTCTCTTGCTAGGAGCTACACCCCCACCTTACACACACCTTATAGAACAGATAATATATGGCCTCCTTATAAAGGCCAAGGAATTCATGATTTCTTTGGAGACTTCCAGCACAGTATATAGCATCTAAGGAGTGACCAGGTGGGGTCATCATGAACATTTTCCAAGACCACTAACTCATCAAGACCCCTGGCTTCAGGGCATAAGTAACTTATGGAGGACACCTAAACACTCATCTTTGTTCCCAGATGCCTGAGAAGACACTGCACCAGACCACCATCCCCAATAAAAACCCCAGACTCCAAGCAAAGATGAAACTCACTCTCCTTTCCTTTCCGACTCCCCCAGAGGTTTTGTCTGTATCTGCTCTCTCTGTGTCTTCAATAAACTGCTCTCCTTTCCTCTTGGCTCACATTTGATTTCTATCCTGTGCAAAGCCAAGGACCCTCCTGGCTGGTCCTGCGGGACATCCTGTGGGTTCTCGAACCTGGCCAACCTGCATCAACATCCCAATAGCAACATGCACATCCAGTGCCCAGATCTTGTTTTCTAAATACATTCTCCAGTAAAAGGGACCAGGAAAAAAGCTGATTTAAGACCAGGACAGGGAAAATTAAAAATATGCCTAAAGCATCTTGTGGAATCAGAAAGTAAAGAAGCACTCAAAATACAAAAGGTTGGGGGCATGTCTAAGGGACACAGGAATCAATCCGAAAAAGCTCCCAGTGGGCAAGGCTGAAACAATTTGAGCAACAAAATAAATAGCATGGTATATCCCAAGGTATAAAATAAATATACAAGTCCATAATGTTTTGTTTAATTTTATGTGTCAACAAGACTGGGCTAAGCCCAGATAGCCGGTAAACATTATTTCTGGATGTGTCTGTGAGATTGGCATTTGAATGGGTAGACTGAGTAAAGAAGATTGCCCTCACCTGTGGGTGGGCATCCTCCAATCCACTGAGGGCCCGACTCGAGCAAAAGGTGGAGGAAGGGCAAATTTGCTCTCTCTGCTGGGGCTGAGACATCCACCTTCTCCTACCCTTGGACATCAGAATTCCTGGTTCTCAGGCTTTTGGACTCAGACTGAAATAGGGAAACTGAAAAACTCCATAAAAACCTGCTTTTTGCTCCTTTTCCTGCTTCTCTTCTTGCTAGGGCCTGCACCCCCACTTTATACATGCCTCAGAATGCAAACAATATGTCCTCCTTGTAAGGAACACAGAGTTAATGATTTCTTTAGAATAGATAGTACCTAAGGAAGAACCAGGTGAGAATGACCAGATGAAGCTCTTGTATGCATACTCCAGACCACCAGCGCTAGGCAAATATCTCGAAGGCCCCTGCCCCCAAGAACAACACCTGGGCTCTCGTCTCTGTACTAACCGGTCCCTGGATGCCTGAGAGGACACGTACACCAGACCACGAGCCTCAGTAAAAACCTCCAGACCCTGACCAAAGACGAGATTTCCTCCTTTCCTTTCTGAGTCTCCCAGAAGCTCTGTTTGTACTTTCTCTCTACTTTCAATAAACTCTGCTTTCCCCTCCCGCTGGCTCAACTTTGATTTCTATCCTGTGCACAGCCAGGGACTCTCTTGGCTGGTCCTGCGGGACTCCTTCTGGGTCCTCGGACCCAGCCTGCTAGCAACTAGACCAGGACTTACATCATCAGTCTCCCAATTTTCAGACCTTCAGACTTGGACCTCACAAGAATACCACCGACTGCCCTGGATCCCAGCCTCCAGACAGCACATTGTGCAACTTGTCTGCTTCCATAACTGTGTGAGCCAATTCTTATAATACATCTCTTACCTAGATCTCTATATATATCCTATTTGTTCACAGGGTGCCTGGGTGGCTCAGTCGGTTAACCGTCTGCCTTCGGCTCAGGTCATGATCCTAGGGTCCTGGGATCGAGTCCCACATCGGGCTCCCTGCAACAGAGCCTGCTTCTCCCTCTCCTTCTGCCTGCCGCTCTGCCTGCTTGTGCCCTCTCTCTCTCTGTCAGATAAATAAAAAAAATCTTAAAAAAAAAAAATACACAAGCCTATAATCTTCAGTGTTATTTCACAATGTGCCTATAGGAATCATTACATACCTCCATGAACATTTACTGCTTATTAACACGATTCCAT